TCAAAGAGCGCATAGTTAGTTAGAGCCAAAAATTCGGAAATGTACAATGTGTGTTCATTAGTTGTGTGGGCATGTTACTTTCCGGTTACCCTGGCCGAAGAAGGGGGATTATCTTGGGGTCCCCACCCGAAGTCTTTGACTAGAAAGCCTGATCTGCAAGACAACAGGACGGAACTCAGAGACCGCAATCCATTGGGGTCCGGTGTCCGGTTCATCGGATCATACGCCTTTCGGACGGGGTCAAACTTCAAAGGTGCCCAATAAACCTAGATGCCCAATTGAGCCAGTGACCATTTCCACAACCGGAAAGGTGTGGGTGGTTTGTACGCCTCTTCTTGGTTGGTTTGAAATCAGGGTGTTTAGCCAACCCCTAGGTGAACTGCCAGTGGTTCACCGACCTAGTTCTAGCCCCAGATTTCGGCTTTTGGTCCTCTCACTTTGGCGAGAAAAACACCGCCACGGGAAGGCAGTGAGTGGGGCTTCATCAGCAGAGGCTATTTGAGACGCTTGGGTTGTATGGGAGCATTTCGCCAGATGAAAGGGACGGGTGACCAGCCGCAACCCGAGACACCCACTCCTGACCAAAATGAGGCTTCCTGAGGGACATCCTGATACAAGGGAAGCAAATGTCATATGGTGTCTAGGCCGTCCAAAACAATGATTAAGAACTCATGCATGAAAACGTTGCATGATGTCGTTGCGTGAAATTCAAAGACAATTGCGACGCGTACGAATTGGGACCAGATTTGGGCTGGTGTTCAACGGAAATTGGGATGGCGTGACGCGTGATGAGCGAGCATGAGCATGATGTTTGGGAACTTCGGTCAAGTTTTTAAAGAAGCATGCGGTGGATCGTAAAATGAAATTGTTTTACAAGTTAGAACACAATGCTACATGTCTGGTGTTTACATTTTATCACGATGGGACTACTTCTTGATGTGGTGTGATGGCTTGCTTGCTTCTATGACCCTGCGAGCTATACAGAATAATTCCTCAGCCGCAATCCAATCGTGTCTAAAAGGTCAATGGGTACAAGCCAGACAAAACTCAGTCCCACAAGGCTAGCTGCTTGGACACCTGGCTTCCTTTGACTGTCTACTCTCACCCCTGAAGAGGTCAATCCACCAAATTAACACGGTGAGCGACAGTTTACCGGTCAAAAACCCCTCTAGATGGGCATAGGAGCATGGCACCTGTGGCTTCCTTCTGATGGTGAGAGGTCTTCGTACTTCATTGGATGGCTACCACCCACCGAAGCTGGGAAACCCCCAGCCAATAAGGTGCTATCCCGTCCACGTTTCGCTTGTTTGGGTGCATGGAACTAAGGGCCGATCCCGAACAGTGAACCGATAATCAACGCACCAGCGAACAACACACTGAACTGAAACCCAAAAACCTTGCATGACTGGTCTCTATAAGCTCCCACTCGTGGGTTTCGGTTTGCTCCCGCGTTGAATCTACGTCTCATTGCATTGTGTGTCAGACTTTTGATTCCGAAAGAAAAGCCCCTTCGTTGATGTGGGCTACCGCGAAATATGTCTTGCCCCAAAGTCTTAGGCACACATATCCATATCCTGTCCAGTTCTTCCTTTCACTCCTTAATCCTAATAGATGCCTCCAGTTTGCGCCACCGATAGGATCTCACTCATCGTTCAAATAGTAAAGTGAAACAACCAGAAGCTATCACGTTGTTGAATCTCCTTTTCACTTGACTGCATTTAAGGTCTGCACTTCTATCAGATCGGTCGACAAGCTGCCTCAAATAGAACCCTTTAAACTTTCAATTTAGATATATAATGTGTCTCCGAAACAGTTTCAGTTTGAACAACCATTAATCATGCACTTTCGTGGGCCGGTTTTGGTTGCTGTCTTTTGGCCACCCATTTAGATGAAAAGTTGAAAGTAGAGTGGAATATGAAATGGAGAGTTTCAGTGGACTAAGGTTGCAAAGAGATTGAGAAGATACACAAACACCCGGCCATATCACTCCTTGTCTCCAACCATCGGTTTCGATCATCCCGAGGTCCCCAACCGGGGAGTACATCGGGACCTATCTGACCCAGACTCCTGGTCACGGCTTTCATACCCTCATGCCAGGTCTTAGGTTGACCACCTTTGGCTTTTTCTCCATTCACTTCCTGCCTTGGCAAACTAGACAGATGGGAAAGAGATTTCTCCAAACGACTGCCTAAGACTTCAAGGCACGATATACTTCGCGGCAGCCCACACCGACGTAGGGCTTTTTCTTTGGGAACCCTAATCTGAACCTTCGGCTCAACAGTCTGACCCACAAGGCGGTGGGGCCTAGATCCAACGCATGAACGTGACCGAACCACCCTTATGGGAGCTTCTGGAGACCTGTCTCCGAACGACGCATACAAGACTCCGTTTCAATCATTACCTTGCGATCTTCAGATCCGACTTTATGCTTCACTGTTCGTGTGTCAGTCGATTCGGTACCCGAAGCTTGCGGTGCTGCTGGTGCTCGGATCCCGCTAGTTGTCAAAACCGAGAATTCACTTCTCGACTGAATCCCGGCTAGTAGCTGACTTGCGCTGTACGTCTAGATGGTTCAGTACGGGTCAACAACAACAGAACGGAGCGTCGGTGCTGCGGCTGTCGGTTACAGTCGCATTCTTTTCCGTATAATTACGAGAATGAGCTCAAGGAAGGTAGGCGTGAGGTAATTAAGGAGCCTGACGTCGCACTGATTCAAATTTAGCAACGCTGTCTTGAGCGATAGGCAGAACATTTCAAAGCAGTGCTCAGCTGCACCCCGTCAACACTAGACCTCTCAATTCCTGGTTCATCTGGGCAATTTATACCAGTTGATATCACTTCTGTGTATCTCAGCAGAGTTTGCTCAGCAATTAACGTATTTCAAAGGTATAAGGTTTCCGGCCTCGATGGACTGTTCCTATCGGCTTTTGAAGAGTGAAGTTCTGCGTTGGTCTTGGAGTTGACGAAAGTCCTGGGGACAGTATGGGAGAGCGAACAGGTTCCAACTGAATGGGTTAAATCGGTCATCTTGCCGATTTACAAGAAAGGCGATGGATCCCTTGTGAAAACCATAGATGAATTACCCTAATCGACATTGTCTCTAAACTTCTCGCCGATGTTATACTCTGTCAAACGGTGTACGCGTGAGGATCAGACTGGTTTTAGACTCGTTCGAGGTTGTATAGACTACATTTTCACTCTTCTTTTAATTCTAGAACATATACATTCATTTCGTAGACCTACCATTTCTGTTCTCGATCGGAAAGTGGTTTTTGACTGAGTTTACTCTTGTGCTGCCTCTCTGTGAAGGATATGTCTGAAAATTTTATCTCACAATTACGATCTCTTCACATTTATAGCCGAAGCCGAGTCCGAGCTGACAGTACCTTTTCGCCCGAGTTCACTGCGGGGAGTGGTGTTCTCTCCTTTTCTATTTAATTTTATCATAGATTTCATTATACAAGATTGGGTTACGCTATGTTCCTATATACTAAGACAGATATTGTCTACAATCCCAGTGAATATAGACCCCCGCCGCATATTCTCCAATTTCAGGCGTTCCCTTCCGGTCATCTTGCATACAGTTTATGCAGCTGGTTTTACATCCAGTCCCAGGAAGCGGCAGACAATGCCCGTGTGCTCATAGAGGAGTACGGTAGCAAATCCCATTCACGACCGGAACAAGATGAGCGTTTCTGGCCGACCATTCTAACTTTGGTGTTACAAGCCAGACCACATGAGGCTGCCGGCCTATTGTCCATTCATTCGCACGCGAACAGTCGCATCTTACGCAGTCTGCGTCAGATTTTGGTATCACTTCCCATTGCATCGCAGGCTCGGACGAAAGGTAAATTTCCTATTCATACGATATGTATATATGGTTCATAATAAGTAGTATATGAATGACTCGAGAAAATTTCCCTGAATGCACACAACCGACTTCGTAGTTCTCAGCGCTCATCAGGCATGCATATCCAGTTAGCTTTTGCCAGTTCATTCCCATACTTGTACCCCGTAGGTGTATTTTCGTCGCTATTAACCTGATTTACAATAGTGAGTAATTTTGGAGCCATTCCATTAAACATAAGTACCATTAGAGTGAGACAACATGCCGAAGCAGATAATAAAACTACAAAAAAACGGGTTGAGTAAATGACATGTTACATGTTAATTCTAATGGTAGTTTCTGCTCACCAAATTTTACTGCATACGCAGATATAACGGCGGGTCAACGTAAATGCATGCTTTACTATCTGTACCTATATGTGACTGTGCTCGGCCAGAGGATGAATCAGCTCCATGGATATCGCGAATCAGCACAACTTGGGACCCAGATTGTTTTTAATCCGTTGTCGGATTCCACCGATTGACCAGAGGTCCTACTGTCATTCGTTTGTCTAGTCTACACGGTTCAGCAATGGGAGACCTCGTATCTCATTCGATTGTTGTCGTAATTAGTAATTTTGGTGTCAGTTGCTGTTGCTGCTGCTGCTGTGTGTATGTGCGATTTACCTTACAGTTTCCGCCGCGTTTAGTATGATGCGGTTCTGTTGTGTTCGTTGAACATGACAATTTTTTTAAATTTTCGATTTGGTGAAAAATATGCACTATGCGGTTTCAGTTGCTCTTGCATTCACTCAATTTCTTGGTGAGTTTAATTCAGTTACCGTCCATATCTTTGATCTGGCATTTCTATAGTTGTAGTTGTTCTTCCTTCTATTCCTTCCTCCGAATGATCAACGAAATGTGCCGTGAGGAAGTGCATGGCTACTGGCTGTGTGAACTGATCCTCTCGCAACTAATCAAAACGTCTTGACCAAATGGAGGGGGGCTATCCTGTGGGGGAGATCGGGCCAGTTCCGTTGATGCGTTCTCGGTCTGTATCTGAGTTCCACTGTAGAATGCTTTTCTCACAATCCACAGAATGGATTCAGTTGTCCGCTTCACTGGAATCAGAGCGAGTTCACCAATGCATATGCGTTGCAAGTTTGGCAGCGATCAGTGAAGTTCGCTTCTCTGTATTTCGCTGTACGATGATGATGACCATAGGTGTACCGCACAATGTGTTTGGTTTCTACCTAGAATGCGCGCTTTTCTAACTGTTTTTGAGAGTAGCATGAAGCGTGTTTGATGTTCGCTTGAATGATGTTTCAATTACGGCAAATCGCGTTCACCCCTAGGGTCTTTGATTTGCGTTCACACTTTAGAATTTTGTGTGCTATGATGTTGGTTTGCCTTGCGGTCACCCTGAATGATATCATACATGCATACTCTACAAATTCGATGGGTTCATGCATTGTCATACGTAGGTCTTTGAGTTTTCCTGTGCTGGGGATCAGGCTAAAATTTAACTAAACCACCAACTGATCATGGCTTCGACTTAGCTCATGCAAATTCACATGCGACAGGAGTTATTTATTGCCTGCACTTTACGAATAAATCATACATATGAAACTGGCAGACGAATTGACGAACTTGTTCCAATACATTGATTAGCTCCACTGTATGTGTATTCACACGGGTCAATTAATGTGATCATGTGCCAACCGGTGCTGATCATCAATTGTGCCACTCAGTTATTTCTCAGCTATCGTCTGCCGCACCGCGCTTTATTCGTTTTAGCTGCTCCGGACTGAGGGAAACCCGTGCAGGTCAACAGATGACGTGGAGACGAGGCATGAAGAAAAACACAGCTGTTAGGTAGAGTAGGCACCTCACGCCTTCCAGGTTGAGGTCCGAAAAACTGCGCGACTGGTTGGTTGGAGACATTGGAGAATATGTCGGCGAACCGACAGCAGTGGCGTTCTTGTTGCCGTTTCTTATCAGGTCAGAATGTTTGAAATCGTGTGTATGCACAGTTAGACTGTTTACTCTGTGTGTTGACCGTAGAGATACGCTTTATTTTCCCGTCCCTACAAGTGGGCCCAATCCCTATCCTCCTTATGTATTCTCACTTTTCTTGTTTTCATTATCAGTTTGGCAGCGATCAGTGAAATTCGCTTTCTCAATTCTTGTTCATTCTTTTCTCACCAATTTAGGTATGTGGGGCAAATCGGGGGCGGTGTTCTCTAAGGCCTGGAGCTATTGGCAGTCCGAATGCACTCGACTTCTCGCATCCGGTGAATTTGCACCGGTTGGTGGTGACGATACCGAGACAGCCGATCATGTGCAACTGATCGCTTCAGTTCTGTGCGGTCATGCAGCCAGTTGGGATGATCCTCGTCTAATTGAGGCAACCGGCGGTCCCAACACTTGGTATTTTCGTTTTGTATCGTTCCTATTCTACACCGACCAAATGATGAGCATCGATGGGATCGGCTACCACTTGGACCAATGGTTCGCCCGTCCAACAAATAGCACTCTCTTGGATAGCAAAACCCCACTGGATCAAGTGAGCTACGGCTGTCACTGTTGGTTCACCAATTGTTTTCAACCGATGAAACTAAATTGTGCTATTTAGAGCAGGCTTAAATGCGCTATCTCCGGTCATCCGAGGTCCGTTGTATGAGATACATACATCACTCTCAAAGCTTTAAACTAATGGCTCTCACTTATCATCATCATCATCACCCCTTAGGTACCATGACAAAGTGGTGATACGTACCAGATGAATTCGGAGATCGTATTCCGTTGCTAACTGTGCCGTTTTCAAGCTTGATTACGAAAATCTGGCTAACTCCTGCATTTTCACCATTGAAAATTCAGTCTCCTTTATTTTATCTCTTCTGTCCGGGGTAGTTGTATTGTATTGTGTATAACTTTTGCAAGCACTGGAGCTCACATTTCAATTGAAAAATCTTACACACAAACCGTCAAAGTGTACATAATCAAAGGCGAGAAAAGTTTTTACAGGTATGGGGACATTTCATAATTCAAGGTTAAGACAAAGTTTACTTATTGTCCTCTCTTTGTTTATGAGTAGACCAGCAAGATACGGTAAGCGTTAATTCCAGATGAAATTTCACGGAATTGGGAGCGTGTTGAATGATGAGCACGAAAACGTGTCAGTTCTGCATGCAATGGGTGTTTAGGATCTGTGAGAATCGTCTCAGCAAATTTCACACAGGAAGTTACGTGATAATGTGAAAGCTTTGAAGGTAAGTCATTCACAGGAATAGAAAAGACACGACTAATAATGGAAGCCGTTCGATGTTATTGTGATGTATTTTTTGTTTTCAACCATGCATATCAGCATCTTCATCCGGCTTTCAGAGGTGTACATTTGTTTCAGTTGGTCTCCATTTCCCAACAACATGCAAACTGTTGTGTGAACACTCGCCGTAGTGGAACCTCGGATAGCCTAGCATTCTGTCAGGGGGGAATCATGCAATCCTAGCACTGCGTGGCACATGAAAAATAAGATTCCTGCTATATTCCGGTTTTCTGGCCTGACTGTAATGGAAGACAGTAGTTTTAGGCTTGAATTACGAGAAGATCGAAGTGTAGACACCATCTATGGATGGGATTGAATCCCACGGGGACTGCTGGCCTTTTTACAATCTATAGGTATCATAATAAGAGGATTCTATTGGATACACTTACAGAGCTGACTCTGTTTTTGATCTTGCAAATTGTTTTCTGGAGTTGCCTCTTTTCTGTACTGTTTAATGAATCGTCGCATACACGTGTTTCTACAAGCCCCGTATTTTAGTTTTGCAATTTTGTTTCGACCAATCAAAATTGCAAAACTAAAATACGGGGCTTGTAGAAACACGTGTATGCGACGATTCATTAAACAGTACAGAAAAGAGGCNGCCTCTTTTCTGTACTGTTTAATGAATCGTCGCATACACGTGTTTCTACAAGCCCCGTATTTTAGTTTTGCAATTTTGATTGGTCGAAACAAAATGGTACGTTCTGACATGTTTTAGTCTCCAATTTCAGGCCATAGACGAGCTGATCATCAGCGTGTTCCGACTAAATTTGCAACAGTTCATTCACACGGCCGGTGAGAAATTGAGTAGTCGTTGGCTTGTCGCTCACTTCACCCATCTGCTTCATCGAGTCTATCCGGATATGTTGTACAGTTCCGAAAATCGGGAAAACAATCAAATGGGCACTGAGAGAAGTCACACCAAAATGGAAGACACGGGTAAGCCGGTATTGTGGAATCGCCATTTCAAAAAGTCTGTTTTCTCCCCCTCTCCGGCACTTACTGAGGACTGTTTGATCACTTAGCTAGACCATCTGTCGTCCGTGCACGTTTGTGCCGGTCGGGGTTGGTGGTTGTCCGCGCCATAGTCTCGTAGATGTGGATGTGTGGATGTGTAGATGTGTCTTTTCTGTTCATCGCCTTCCACGAAAGACAACCAGCTCTTCCACAATACTGTCTTTACTAGAGAGACATGGATACATCAGTCACTGGTTCTTTATACGACTCCTACTTTATTTGAATTTTTTAGCTCTTTGAAGTAGAACACACGAGTTTAGTATGTATCAATCGCTTGTTTGTCTTTACGTTCAATAGCAGAAAGACATCACAGAACGGGATAGACGAATCTTGTCTTCCATACAAGTAACGGTCGCCTGCCCGATACTCGCTCTGTGTTCAGACCTATCTCGTACTTGTGTGTTCTCTCCTCCTCTGAGATTGCACACGCCGCCTGCTGGTATCCAAATTTTTTCAAATATTTTTTTATTATTACACAAAGTGATTCACAGCAAAAGGGATAAACCCTTTGGTCAATGGGAAGGTGTGTGATGAAACATTCAACTGAGGATCAACTTGTTAATCCCACTTTTAAAAAGATTAAGGTTATAAGCGCTTGGCAATAGAGAGGTGG